GATTTTGCTGGTACCAAACCATAACTTGTTGGAAACCTCCAGGTGGAAATGCCATGAGTTTATGATATTCATGGATCTGGCTGAAGGTTATCTTAAAGGATCTAATGAGGGTACATTGAGGGTATGACCGGAATATGATGAGGGTGCTACAATGGGAGAGAGAGAGAGAGAGATTAGATTAGATTAGATTAGATTCCATTAGATTAGATTAGATTAGGATAGATTAGATAGATTAGATACATTATATATATAGATATATAATCAACTGTATGGGGTATACGTGTGTGTGAAAAGGGCACATACCCCGCCAGTATTGGCCACTTGAACTCCCATGGTTATTGGTCAAAAAATCAATCATTTGCTGTTTGATTCAGCTTCACATCCCCATTTTGTTTAATCAAATAAACATGGTAAATATATGTAAACACATGTAGATCTCATGCTTTGTTGGTCAAGTCACGATGCATCCGTTGCATCCTCATGTTGATTGCTTCACTCATATCAAATCCCAATGTTTTTTGCCAGGTGAAACCCCATTTTTGTTGGGCCCAGGACCAGCCCCGAACGACAGCTGATGCGGCTGCGGAAAGGTGCATTGCAGGCGTATCAAAGCCTGGATGGGGCCTGGCCTGCAGATTTGGCAGATCAGGTGATGCACTTAGAGGCCACTGGTGGGGTAGCAATACTGCAGGTAGTGGCTGTGAATTTTAGCTATTTTTGAAGGTATAGCTGGTTGGTGGTTTCAAATATGTTTTTTCCCCATAATATATGGGATAATCCTTCCCATTGACTTGACTAATATGTTTCAAGATGGTTAAAACCACCAACCAGATAGTGGTTGGGGATTCAAATATTGTGGTTGATGATTAGTGTACCACTAGTAAGCCCCAAAAAACCGCCTGGATTGGCCGAGTCCATGATTTTTCTTGACACTTTCCCACTGGGAAATCTACAAATTTATAGTTTTTATGGCGGGTCCTTAAGCAAATCCAAGTATATACCCTCTGGTAAACATACAAAAAACTATGGAAAATCACCATTTCTAAGGGGTAAATCAACTATTTCTATGGCCATGGTCAATAGCAAACTGTTAGTTTACCAAGCCGGGTAACAAGAAAATATGGGGGATGAACATGAATATTAACCAGCTGTTTAATGGTGAACAGAAGGGTACCATAGGGTGCTGTTTTAGGAGGGAAACATGGACAAAATGGGTGGAGCATGCGGACTGGGAGGTGGTTGTTTTTTATTTGTTGAGCAGATGAAACCATAGGAATGTCATTGGTGATCACCAGCAAAAACCATAGGAAAATGGTGATTTAATGAGGGTTTATGGTGGTTTAATGGGATTTAATGGGATTTACCCTCTGGTAATTTAACATAGCTATAGAAAATCACCATGCTATTAATGGGAAAATCAACTATTTCTATGGCCATTGTCAATAGCTTTTTGTATGTTTACCAGAGGGTATCTTTGCTAAGCACCGGACTTTACAAAAAACGGCTCCTTTGGGTGTTTCATCTTTTCACGATTCCGCGAAGTGGTCTCAAGGATACTTTGAGAGGAAACGCGTACAGTTTGAATGATGGATTCACTGGTTGGTGGTTTGGAACATGAATTTTATTTTCCCATATATTGGGAATAATCATCCCAACTGACTTTCATATTTTTCAGAGGGATAGGTATACCACCAACCAGTTCATGTAAGGTCCCGGTTCTCTGGCATTCCTCGGTTGATTTTCCGGTCCATCGAAAAGTGTGCCACGTTTTGCAGGAAAAGGTCCAGCAGTTGGTTCCTTGGCACAGCAGGTGGTCCGATGCGACAAGCTGCTGTTGCATGGACATCCAGAAATCCTGTTGCGATATTGATGTGAACAGGGTGAAAAATGGAGTCTAGGAGGGGTTGATTGAACATCTTTCTTTGCATGTTCAATCCTGATGATTGTTTGTTTCATATCACATATATAATCATATATATCCCCATTTTTTCATGCACATCTTCCGATTGCTTCAGATTTGGACAGTGGCGAAGATCAGGAGATCCCAATTCCATCACAGCTGTCTCCCAGATTTGTTGCTTCAATCATATGAGTTCATATGGGGAGTTCCTAAAATGGGGGATCCCCAAGTCACCATGGGTTTCAATATGTGTCAATACGAAAATGGTCACTCATGACTTGGATGATTTGGGGGTACCCCATTTTAGGAAACCTCCATCTTGACTTCCTATGTTTCCTAAAGCCCTTCCAGACAGTGTTACTTGAACGTCTCGTTTCTGACAGGTTCAAATCATTAAAAAGTCCTTCCTTTCCCAAGTTCACACCCTTTGATCAACCCTACCAACCCTAGTGCAGGCTCAAACTCTCACAACTGCTCACAAAGCATCGATTTTCTCTTCTCAAACCTCAAAGTTTCTTGCTTCAACTGCCATTTTCCTTGGATAAACCTGGATAAACCATGAGAAACTCCCTATTTTTCTCTGGTTCCATTGCCATTTTTGGATGGTTCAACTGCCATCTGCCGAGGATCAGAGCATGCAGCGGGAAGCGCAGCGCCGCTTCGCCGCGGCTGACGCACCGGACGCACCGCTCGGAGTGGCGCCGAAGCGACGGCGGCTGCGGCCACTGGTGGAGTTGCCATTGGAGGAGACCAGGGCGACTGACAAAAATGTGGGAAATTGTCATGGCAATAAATGGACATAAATTGTCTTGAATGGTAATATAATGGTAAGACAATGGTGGTATTTTAATGGTTTTATGAGGATTAGTGCACCATGAGTAAGCTCCTCAATTATGTAATAGAAAAACCTAATTTGACGGATTATTGTACCCACCATGGGTTTTTTAATGGTTTCATGTACGCTCCAAATCGCCTGCATGTGCTGAGCCAATGATTTTTTGATGTATTTTCCCAAAGGGAAATTGGGGAATCAATAGGAAATATATGGAAATATGAAATGGAGGTTTCCATCAATGGTGGTATCTCCAAAATGGATGGTGGGGTTATTCTAACTGACGTTTTTCTGGGTGGCATTTGGTCTCTACATGGAAGAATATTAGAATATCAACGCCGGCATTCCAACTTGCGGTCCGTCGGTATATCTTACGGGAAACATTTACAAGAAATGATGACTGTGGTATGTTCAGGATTATTTTCAAAGTTTCAAAATCACAGATTGTTTTCATCAATGACATTGGAATTTGTTTTGGCTGTTGGGAGATCTGCCCAGTGAATCAACCAGTATTGGATGACTGGGGCACATCTCAAGACTTGGTTTGTTTATGTTTGTTTCGTTTTTTTGGGAACTTATTTCGAAGATAATTTTCCATGATTATTATTCAAGATATTTTTCCGACTTGATTTTACAAGGTAAATTATTCTTCATTCCAAGATAAGTGTCTTCCTTTGTTCCTTGTAGATCCAAAATGAACCCATACAATGGTACTAGTTATATCCAATGTTCATTTCCCAGGTACTGTAATTCCCTATCAGATGGTTTTTAAGTAGTGAGATAACGCAATCATAAACTATTCTCAATTGTGGTTTATTGGGAATACCGGAATACCCCTATTTGGGATGATTTGGAATCGTCCCCAGTCATGGTTTTTTTCAACGGGATGGTTTATGGTCTAAGCCAACTGAACTCTAATAGCTGGCTTTATAAAGCCACCTAGCTATTAACATGCATATCTGGTTGGTGGTTTGAAACATTTTTTATTTTCCCCCAATAGCTGGGATGGTGATCCAATCTGACTAATATTTTTCAGAGGGGTAGGTATACCACCAATTAGATATTGATGAGATGGTTTACAAGTATCCTCCGGTGTCATCAAACATGGCTATCACCGGAGCCTCCAACAGGACCCAGAGCCCAGTGTCGATGTTGCCACGGAGCCTACTCTCGTTGCGAACGCCGGGCTCGAGGTTTTCCGAATTCTCGTTGCTGGTGAATCTCCATGAGAATCTCCCCTTGTTTCTTAATTTAGTTTCCACTCTACACTTTGGGGGTAGAGAATAACCATGTTCTAGCCCAGCTATACATGAAATTGTCCCCCGTTATATACGGGTTGTATCGCTAGTAGACCACTACCCATTTTCAGTTAGACCCATACCCATACTTCGATGGATTGGTTTAAGGGAAAATCTTAACCGGACACCAAAGAAGTTCCCATCAATTGTGGGGTTTTCCTGTAAATTTATCTTAAACCAATCCATCGAAATATTCAATATCAGGGCATGTGTGACCATGTGTGGCAGTTCAAGCTCAGGCTGCGGATGAAGTGGCGGTCGAAAATCAGGACCAGATGCCAGCAGATCCACAAGAACCTCTGGAAGAAACGGTGGAGTCTTGTCTGTTACAAGTGATGCAGGGTGGTTGACATAGTTGGTATATGATGGTATATGTTGGTATGTTTTCAAGGGATGTGAAATGTGCAAAATCCAAGCGATGTGGATCTTCATTTCTTGAAGTACGTTGCATGGATCTAGGAGAGGATATGGTGCATCCGTGATTTGCAAGATTCTGCAAGCATAATTTTGATGTGAGTAGAATGTGTGTGTATGTGTGTTTTCTTTGTCCAAACAGTGTTGGAAAGCATGTCTAAAAACGTCGCAGCGTATTCAAAGCTATGGACTATGAACATGTCGGATAAGAATTAGAGTTGTACTCGTACTGACTCTCATGGTTCTTCTCCAAAGTAGTTTAAGCTTCCTGAACCTCTGCTGCGACCCCAGCCCCAAAACTTTCCCCCAACTTCAGGCTGTGGATGAAGCGGCGGTCGAAAATCAGGACCAGATGCCAGCAGATCCACAAGAACCTCTGGAAGAAACGGTGGAGTCTTGTCTGTTACAAGTGATGCAGGGTGGTTGACATAGTTGGTATATGATGGTATATGTTGGTATGTTTTCAAGGGATGTGAAATGTGCAAAATCCAAGCGATGTGGATCTTCATTTCTTGAAGTACGTTGCATGGATCTAGGCGAGGATTTGGTGCATCCGTGATTTGCAAGATTCTGCAAGCATAATTTTGATGTGAGTAAAATGTGTGTATGTGTGTTTTCTTTGTCCAAACAGTGTTGGAAAGCATGTCTAAAAACGTCGCAGTGTATTCAAAGCTATGGACTATGAACATGCTGGATAAGAATTAGAGTTGTACTCGTACCGACTCTCATGGTTCTTCTCCAAAGTAGTTTAAGCTTCCTGAACCTCTATTGCGACCCCAGCCCCAAAAATTTTCCCCCAACTTCAGGCTGTGGATGAAGCGGCGGTCGAAAATCAGGACCAGATGCCAGCAGATCCACAAGAACCTCTGGAAGAAACGGTGGAGTCTTGTCTGTTACAAGTGATGCAGGGTGGTTGACATAGTTGGTATATGATGGTATATGTTGGTATGTTTTCAAGGGATGTGAAATGTGCAAAATCCAAGCGATGTGGATCTTCATTTCTTGAAGTACGTTGCATGGATCTAGGAGAGGATTTGGTGCATCCGTGATTTGCAAGATTCTGCAAGCATAATTTTGATGTGAGTAAATGTGTGTGTGTGTTTTCTTTGTCCAAACAGTGTTGGAAAGCATGTCTAAAAACGTCGCAGTGTATTCAAAGCTATGGACTATGAACATGCCGGATAAGAATTAGAGTTGTACTCGTACCGACTCTCATGGTTCTTCTCCTAACTCTACTGCGACCCCAGCCCCAAAAATTTTCCCCCAACTTCAGGCTGTGGATGAAGCGGCGGTCGAAAATCAGGACCAGATGCCAGCAGATCCACAAGAACCTCTGGAAGAAACGGTGGAGTCTTGTCTGTTACAAGTGATGCAGGGTGGTTGACATAGTTGGTATATGATGGTATATGTTGGTATGTTTTCAAGGGATGTGAAATGTGCAAAATCCAAGCGATGTGGATCTTCATTTCTTGAAGTACGTTGCATGGATCTAGGTCAGGATTTGGTGCATCCGTGATTTGCAAGATGCTGCAAGCACAATTTTGATGTGAGTAAAATGTGTGTATGCGTGTTTTCTTTGTCCAAACAGTGTTGGAAAGCATGTCTAAAAACGTCGCAATGTATTCAAAGCTATGGACTATGAACATGCCGGATAAGAATTAGAGTTTACTCTACTGATCTCATGGTTTTCTTCTCCAAAGTAGTTTAAAAAAAAGCTTCTGAAACCTCTGCTGCGACCCCAGCCCAAAATTTTTCCCCAACTTCAGGCTGTGGATGAAGCGGCGGTCGAAAATCAGGACCAGATGCCAGCAGATCCACAAGAACCTCTGGAAGAAACGGTGGAGTCTTGTCTGTTACAAGTGATGCAGGGTGGTTGACATAGTTGGTATATGATGGTATATGTTGGTATGTTTTCAAGGGATGTGAAATGTGCAAAATCCAAGCGATGTGGATCTTCATTTCTTGAAGTACGTTGCATGGATCTAGGAGAGGATATGGTGCATCCGTGATTTGCAAGATTCTGCAAGCATAATTTTGATGTGAGTAAAATGTGTGTATGTGTGTTTTCTTTGTCCAAACAGTGTTGGAAAGCATGTCTAAAAACGTCGCAATGTATTCAAAGCTATGGACTATGAACATGCTGGATAAGAATTAGAGTTGTACTCGTACTGACTCTCATGGCTCTTCTCCAAAGTAGTTTAAGCTTCCTGAACCTCTGCTGCGACCCCAGCCCCAAAACTTTTCCCCCAACTTCAGGCTGTGGATGAAGCGGCGGTCGAAAATCAGCACCAGATGCCAGCAGATCCACAAGAACCTCTGGAAGAAACGGTGGAGTCTTGTCTGTTACAAGTGATGCAGGGTGGTTGACATAGTTGGTCGAAGGAAGTTTAGAAGCTAAACTTCCGACAATATGGACAGATGAAAAGCAGAGCAGGGAAGAGGCAGAGAGAAGAGAAAGATTAGAAGAAAGAAGAGTAAGAAGAAAGAAGATGCAGATGCGTGAAAAGGTAGGAAAGTCGCGACACACTGTGTTTTTCCAATGATTTGGGGCTTCGGAGGGTCGAAAAGTCGGCTCGCTAAAGCGGCGGGTGCGGAGCCAGCTGGCCAGATGAGACATGAAAAAGTGGACGCCGTTGTGGCGCGAAGCACATTTCCAAGTCAAAATGGACAAAACACTAGAGGATCGGACCACTTTTGGCAGTTGCGATGTCGAAAAAGTGCACGCCGTTGTGGCGCGAAGCACATTTGGAAGTCAAAATGTACAAAACACACCATGGTCGGACCACTTCTGGAAGTTGCGATGTTGAAAAAGTGCACGCCGTTGTGGCGCGAAGCACATTTCCAAGTCAAAACGTACAAAACACCGCAACGTCGGACCACTTTTGGAAGTTGAGATGTTGAAAAAGTGCACGCCGTTGTGGCGCGAAGCACATTTCCAAGTCAAAATGTTAAAAACACTAGGGGTTCGGACCTCTTTTGGAGGCTCAGAGGTCGAGTTTCGAAAAAGTGCACGCCGTTGTGGCACGAAGCACATTTCGAAGTCAAAATGTGCAAAA